TATGGAAAAAGGGGAAAATTTCACATTTTTGAAACCCTTTTTAAAAAAAAAAAAAAAAAAAAAAGACAAGATAAGGGGTTGACATCTTATTTGCCACAAACTTCTATGTGACCATGGTCAGGTCACTTAATCTCTACCTCTGTTTCTCATTTATAAATTAAGGAAACGTTTTCCCAATCTTTCAGGAATCTAGGGCATTTGGATACTATATAAAGGGACCTAATAGGTCACAATGAACTTAGCTCAAACACATCAGAATGACTTAAACTTTTTCTCTAACATTTATGATGCTTGGTTTTGCTAGATTTGCAATTTAAATCTTGCATCCCAGCTCATTCTGAGCAGCATTCTATTGGGCCCAATCAAAATGCTTATATCTTGAGGTGCTTCCACTTGGAAAAGATAAGTTGTAAATTCCTCTGGTTGGTTTGATTAGTAGAAAGTGTATCTGAACAGCAGCTGAAAAATACTATTCTAGAAACACTGGAACCAGTCAGAAAACTTGCTAGCAGTATTGTTTATTTTTCCCACTTGGTAATCGATGGTCTGTGGTTAACTGAACAGTAGAAACATTACCCTGAGGTATAGATCCTCACTTTTTCCTAACCTGAAAACATCTTAAACTATTGCCTTGGAGACGGTACAGGGATTCATTATTTCTGGATTATTAAAAAACTTTGAGGGTTCCAGTATTGCATATATTAAAAACTAAAATAATCTTTTTTTGCCAGTATTTGATTATTTTAACATTAATTTGCTTTGTTGCAATTATCTGGATAGGCATATCATTATATTTTTCCTACTTTAAAGCCAGATTCCTGGCTCTGATTGTAGAGAAATTTGAACCAGTGATGATGAGCATGGAGAGACTCATCAGGTTCCTATGGTAAAATTCATCTCTCTCCCCTGCCCTAATTGAAGGTAGGATCGGAGAAATATCCATACCTCTTGTGGAGTTCACTACATCCTTGGATCACTGCCAAAGGTAACATCCCTGGGCAAAATAAACAAACTACTTCTGAAGATTAATTTTTTGTTGCCTTGGGAATGGACCAGATTGCACCATATGGCAGGCACTTGCAAAAAAAATTTCTTAGGGAGGATACACCCAGACCTCTCTCTAGGGTCATAAACCTCACTTTAAATTACCCAATTTAAACTCTGCTCTGTTCTTTCCAACATATTCAGCATACTTTTTCAGGAATAGCATATAAATACAGCACATTTTTCAGCAACCATACAACTTAAAGAAATAGAATCAGCTAAAAAACTACATTTGTTTGAAAAGTTTTTTAGTATATTTTACTTAAAAGGAACAGCCAAGATTACTAGAATGGAAAGGAGGTAATAACAGCTTTCTTTCCATTAATTTAGTGCATTTGTCCAGATTCCAGAAGTGCTGAGCAATCTGGAATTGCACTAAAAAATAAGCTTTTAATGTCTCATCAGTTCCCCTGATGGTTGCTGATCATTTGTTCTTCATGGGTCACAGCCTCAGTTGAGGTAAACTAGTATAGTTTCAGTGACAGTGACTGGCAGCAGAGCTATGCTGATTTACCCCGGTGAGTTACTGGACCAGTCACCTACATTAGCAGTCTATTTGCTGTCAAGCTCATTCAGTTAGCCTCACTGAGCCCTTTAAATCATCATTATGAGTCAGAAAAGCCACTATGGGTAGAAACAGATGTTGCCTGATGTTGCATTTGTACTGCCATAAAATTTTTTGATGGCACACAAGTGGTGGGCAGATACATTCCTACCTTGTGTTGTGCTACATAAGTGGATGGAACAAAAAGTAGCTTAAAATAGTGCTGCTTTATTGAGGGGAATGTCTTATTTGTGAGGTGCAGCGGTTGGGGGGACAGGCACATGTATGAGGGAGCAGGCAGGGAAGGAAAGGCAGAGGTCTGGCTTCCTGCCCCCTGCTGCTGCTTTTGGGGAGATGAATCTAGGATGACACTCCAATAATTAGATTCTCAACATGGAAAATTATAACAAATTTATAATTTTCCTCATTATAGAATCATAATTATTAGGGGGATGTCTTAAACTCAGTGTAACCTTACATTCAGGTAAATACAGTACAGTGTTCCCATTGCTACATGAAAGTAAGTAATTGCTAAGAAAACTGTCAAAGATCCTGTGATAAAGTGACAAATTAAAGCTAGGTGGCTTTTAGCATTTTCTAGATCATGAACCTCTGCTAAAAATAAAATGTTTTGGGAGCTCCCCACTTTGTAATTATATTAAAAATATTAAAATAGAGAGGACTGAATGCGTAACAAGCATAACCTAGATGGGTTACTAGTCTAAATAATACAAAATACAACAGGTGAGAACTGACTGAGAAGACGTAGAGGCAAGGGTAACCAGTTATACAAATTCCTCGCTTGTTGCATACATAACTTGTGCTCATAATGTGCATGAAAGTTCATGATCAATTTTTTCCTCTTCAAAATAAAATAATAGAAAAGTAGGGTTGGAAAGGCCCTCAGGAGGTCATCTAGTCTAACCCCCTGCACAAGGCAAGATCATCTCCTAGAACATAAAAACTGTCTTTTACTGGGTCAGACCCTCATTGTATCTTGCTCAGTACCTGGTGTCTCTCAGTGGCAGAGAGTGGATGCTGAAAGGGAGAGTGAACCGGGTATGGCCAGGTTTTTGTCTACTGTTGCACTCCCACTTGCGGCCTCCAGCATTTAGAGCTTGGGCAATTTTGATTCAGAGGCTGTACCCTTACCTCCCATGATCACTAGCCACTGATGTACCTTTCCTCCAAGAATTTGTCCAATCTCTTGGACAATCTCTTCTCTGCACCTTCTCTAGTTCTACATCCTTTTCTGCTTCTATGTCTTACTAATAGACAAATAAACAATCTCTAGGAGCATCAGTCATGGACCTAAGAGCCTGCTAAGTTAAACACTGCAAACACAGGGGAAAAACTCCCTGTTTTGACGAGTTTATAGACAGACTGGGGTGCATAAGATTGCAGTGACATAATACTAGCTGGATGATAGTAGTGTTAGCACATCACCAGAATAACTCTTGTCAACTATTCTGTAGGCACTGCAGTGAAGGAGGGTTTGGGTGTGGGTTGGGCTGGGTTGGTTTTAATTATGGATTTGGAGAAGGCTAAAGGGACCTAGCTTGGTAGGTATTTATGGGAAACCATTCCTAAGCGTGAAGGATAATGTGGGAAAAAGGACAATGATTCTGATTTTAAAATTGAAGAGACGAATGATGGGAGCTACATACTTCTCTTTCCATCCCCCTTAGTATCTCTAATAGTGCAATACTAATCAAGTCCACAAACAAAGTGAAACATGTACCTGTTGAGATACCTTTAATAGGAAAAGAAATCTGTTTTCAATGAAAACTAATGAATATGGTTTCATGAATTGTATTTAGATAGACTCCAAGCATGTTTGGTCATAACAGTAAATGAGAACAAAGCTTCATTAGTATTTTTGTAAAATTCAGATTTCTACTGCATTAGCTAGACAGTTCTTTGTTAGGATACAATTGGAATCAACACAGTAGCTCTGATCAAAGGGAATAGAAAATTGTGTCTGAAGTAAACAGGTATATGGCTGAATCCCTATGGCTTTCTCTAAGCTATTCACAATGGTTTTCCACAGTGTGAAAAGCCAACCAAGAAGATTGTTACTGTGATTCTGGAATGTGGTATGTTTTTAACTGGTTGAAAGCAGAAAACCCATATTAGCAAATTGGTGTAACACCTCCTGTTTTTACCAACCCCTATCCCCCTCCCACCCCTCAAAATATCTAGATTTAAATTGGAGATCCCTAATTTCTTTTAGGATTTGAAATCTAAAATAAATTTGAATGTTCTGGAAATCATTCAGCTTGTGAAAGAAAAACAAATGGGGTGGATTAAAAAGTAAGTTCCATCTGGCTGTCATTGTGTGCAAAGGTAGAATGGCTATCCTGTCTTAACTGTAGGAGTGTGGGCATTAGCTTTTTTTTGTTTCCTGGTGCTCTTAATCCTTTTAACATTGTGCAGGAGTTATTTTGTAACCTGTCATTACAGTGAACCTGGAGTTAACATGACAGATGGTACTTGTACATCAAATGCAGGCTATCCTCGCTGCAGTAAACACAACCGCCTCTGCAGTCTCAGAGTTGTGAGAAAGGACGGAGAAAACAAGGGCAGGCAATTTTATACTTGTCCTCTACCCAAAGGAATCCAGTGTGACTATTTTGAAGTAAGTACAGGACTTCAGAGCTTGTAAGATTTCCAAGGAAAGAAAAAGGACTGTTAGCCATTAATTAAACCATTGTGTTTGCTTAATCACTTTCACTGTAGAAAGTTTTAAATTGTGATACATTTAGATTTTAAATGTACCCAAAAGTTATTCTTGTTTGCTAAACAGGTAAAAGGTACTAAAGAAGGTACCTGAAATTCAGGCCATCAGTTGTTTTTTGCATGGGGACAGTTGGATTGCTATGGATTTATAAATAAACATTACCTAAAAGCAATAGCTTATGTCTATCTTGAGGACAACAACAAAAAATCTATGACATGTTAATAGCCGTGGAAATTAGAAATACATTATTTCCTTCCAAATAGTGAAGAATGTTGAAAAGTGCGAAGACATTTCAAAGAGAGCCAGGGCACATTTTGTGACTTTTGAAACATAAGCAACATCATTTATTTTGGATACAGTTTTTGGAGTTGTCTGTGTCCCTTTGACTTTCACTGGGGCTTAGATGCCAAAGGGCAAGACATTCAAAATGTATTAAAGTGCCTAACAGTGCAGATCGATGCATTCATTGCTTATTCACTTCTGAAAATCTCCCTGTCTGTTTAACTCCCATTGAAATTAGTCCATGTGGTCAGTTGCTACAGAGCTTGGGGATAGCACCTGGAAAAGGAAAATGCATATTCTACCTTCAGTCTGATGACTTCGGACTTATTGTTCTACTGTGGGTGGGGAAGGAATTGTTGCTAATAGGATGCATCTACACAAGCCACTAACATGCAAAAATAACATACAGAGCTTATTGATTATGAGCTTATTGCTCTGCAGTTTATTGTTCCTGAGAAGCTCCTGGGCACTCAGTTTACACATGCCCCAGGATCACAGCACATTGAGCCAGGTTGCAGCAGACCCAGCTGGCAGAGGGTCCAGGGGGTCAGCCTGCCAGCTCAGGGCTGCTCCAGCTGAACTCAGTGTGCTGTGGATGGACTGGCTCGGGCATGAGGGTGCTTCAGCACAGGGCTAGCTGGCAGGCAGTCCCTGCACTGAAACACCCTAGTACTCCAGCCAGCTGCACCAAAACCCTTCCTCAGTAGGGTAGGACTTGTCAAGTTTATTAGCTTTGTGCACCCCAGTGGGGGTGCACATGTAGATGCTGAGACGTTTACTGCACAGTTAGTTAATCAACTGCGCACTAAACATCTTCTATAGACACGCTTACAGTGATTCAAGCCAACAGTTTTAGGACCATGTACTTGAGAAATACCCTTCTAATGACAAATGAGCCTATTTACTAAAGCATCTGTTTGCTTTTCTTATTGTTAGTAAAATGAGAAAATTGCAATGTAAATTCCATTGGTCTATACATGTGGCAAGCGGGCCAGTCAGATGAATTTCTAACATAGTAATTCCCTCATGATAGCATCCCTCAGAAGAAAATTGTATTTGATAATTTATTGGGAGGGTCTGTCCTATTGGTTTAAATTCCTGCCATGGATTCAGAGAAAAAAATTCTGACCATCAGATTTATCAACACTCATCCTAAATAATATGATTTATTTTTTCCCTGCAGTGGGCAGACTTACATTTTCCATTCTGCAATCATGGAAAACGCTGCATTATGAGGACAGTGTTGAAGATTGGTCCTAATAATGGAAAGAATTTTTTTGTATGCCCATTTGGAAGAGATAAACAGTGTGACTTCTTTCAGTGGGCAGAAAATGGGCCAGGAGTGAAGATTATACCAGGATGTTGAGAGATTAATTTTCAGATAGTATAGATTAATCTGTTCAAATTTACATTTACTATAGTTCTGTGCTCCAAAGTGTATTATTTTAGGAGACTTGATAAAAACAAATCTGCCTGTATTATAACTTTTAGACTTTTCTCTCTTAATCCCTACCTAGTGCTGTTCTTTGTTTTCTGTTCACTACTGGTTAATAGTTCTGGCTGTTTTATCTAACAATAGCACCTTTCAGAATGTGCAATTAGCATATCTGGCCTTCTGAAAATTAAACAGTGGTAATATTAGCATACCAGTTTCCTAGGAGAAGATCCACTTTTGAGGGGATGGAAAAGGCTCATGCTTGCTCGCTCGCTCTCTCTCTCGTTAAGGTGTTGCTGTCACTTGCAGCTCATGTTCTATTATAATATACTGTCAGTGCAGTATGTCTGCTTTTGATGGTGTGTCTATATCCTTTGTGTAGGTATCAGTTTAGTCTGTCAACACTAGAGAACTTCAAATATTTGTTGTAGATATGATTTATGGAAAGTATAATATATTTAAAAGCATTTAAAATGGATAATTTTAATAAGATTGTCACTGTTTTTACCACAGAAGGTGAAATATATTCAATAAAAATACTTCATTTTATTTTTATAGTTCCACTGTTTGTATGTGTGCATATGCGTGTTAGACTGGGAACTAATTAGTGTTAGATACTGTGGCCTAAATGGTGGATCTTGGCCAACTGGCTAATTGATGGACTAGTTTAGAGCATCTATTAGAATTATGCTAGTCCCTTGTCTGTCAGTAAAGTCGCAGCTAATTAAGAGCACCGGTACGAAAGGTAAAAACTGAAATTAATCTATCAGTTTATTGAAGGGGTAATTAACAACAACAGGAGAGGGAGGATGGGTAAAGCATTACTAATTACTATTAACTGTACAGAACAACCATCATAATGTATGAAACAAGTGTAGATAGGTGCCTGTGTCACTGTGAGATGTGGTGCAGACAGAGCGCACGCACTCAGGAGAGCAGAGTCCCTACCTCCCTCTTCCCACCTTCAGACAAGGGTGATACTCACTAAAGAGCTCTGCGAGTTGCTTGCTTACTGCACCAATGCACCCAGTGCAAATTCCAGGGAGCCAACCCTATCGGAGATCAGTGGTAGGGGGAGCCAATGTGATCCATAGCTAACACACTCAAGGATTTGATACCAGCTGTGGTTCTGGATCCAATTGCTCACTTACTCTACTGCTTCATTCACACTAGGGGCTTTGGCAGTAGTACTCTCCTTACACACCACAAAGGATACAGGATGAGGAGTAGGCTATAGATCAAGGAGCAATGAACACGTGCACCAGGCTCACCTGCCAGGAAGCCCCTGAATCTCAGTCAGCTTATATACCAGTGTTGCACACAGTACTCCGCCTTGCTGCAAATGTCACTTGGGATTGTGCTCTCAGCACTCAAACTTTCTAAGAGATTCCACCCTTTGCACGTGTGTACTACACACACCACGCATGCTGCTACACACCTCACTGTCAAGAGTCACTTAGAGTTCATCACACAATCCACTTTCATGCCAGCACACATGCACACTGGTTTGTTGTCCTCTTGAACTAAAAATTCTTTTATTTTAACTGCACAAAAATCAGCCTAACCATGTGCTGCCGACCTAACTAAGTGACTTCCATGTCCCCAGCCCTGATTTATGGCCTTACAATCCCCTCCTTGATACCTTACAATGACATCACAACAGAGGTATCATCATGTAAACAAGAAGGGCTGAGTCATGGTCTTAGCCGAAGGGGACATAGAGGTAGTGATCGACCATCACATGAACATGAGCTGGTAGTGCAATGCTGTGGCCAGCAGGGCAAACACTACGCTGGCATGCATTAACCGTTGCATCTCATGCAAGACTAAGAAAGTGATACTTCCACTGTACTCCACACTGGTGAGACAGCATCCGGTTCTGGGTGTTGCACTTCAACAAGGGTGTGGAAAAACTTGAGAGGGTCCAGAGAAGAGCCACCCATGTGATCAGGGACTTGCAAAACATGCCATACGAGGAAAGGCTGAGGGACTAGGGCCTTACCCTACAGAAGAAAAGGCTGAGAGGGGACTTGGTAGTGGCTTACTGCTAACATCAGCAGAGTGCATCAAGAACTCAGCGAACAGCTGTTCACCAGGACGCCCCAGGGAAAGACAAGGAGCAATGGATACAGAAGGTTGCTTCAGGCTCAATTCCAGAAAAAACTTCACAGTCAGGGTGTCCGCACTGGAATAAACTCCCTCCAGTGGTGGTGCAGTCAGCTACCCTGGAAATCTTCAAAAGGAGACTGAACAGTCACTTCGCTGGGGTCACTTGACCCCAGTTGTCTTCTCCTGCCTATGCAGGTGGGTTGGACCCCATGATCTACAAGGTCCCTTCCAGCCCCTAACAACCTGTGAATCTATGAAAGGTGCATTACACCGCTGAATGTGCTATAGCAGCTGGAATTAATGCGCAATATGCCGCTGACATGTGCAAACACCAACGCCATTAAAACAGTGTAAAAGCATTTAACCTGCTTTAAAGTGTCATGCACACATGCCCCTCATTTAGTCTACACATGCCCATAATTAGCTGCAACCTCAGACAGAAAAGGGACTAAAACCTGCTAGATGCTCTAAGCTAGTCCATCAATTAGCCAGTTGGCCAAGATCCACCATTTAAATAATGCTAATTAGCTCCTGGTCCAACATGCAAGTTATAAGGAAACAACATACCGTTCTGGTCTTTAAAACTAATGCACAGCTGCTTCAAGGATCCTGTCCACTGCCCACTAGAGTCAATGAATGCACTCCCAGTTATTTCAGTAGACATTTTGTTAAGCCAATAATGCATATTTACTGTACCTGCTACTTTGGCCACATTTGAAAAGTATGTGTGTTGCTATAAATTACAAAAAGCAATTTAGAAAACAGAGCAAGAAATACATTAAAACTAAGTGTTTATCTTTGTTATTGGCTCATCTATTCAATAACCCATTTTCCAAAAGCCTGAATAATTTAAGTGCATTAAAAATAAGTTACAGCACTAAGAAATACATTCTTAGAATGGTAAATAGTACATCTTGGATAAAAACATGCAGTAATTTTTTTACTTAAAAAACAAACTCTGCTGAGAACTCATTTCCAGGACTTTCCTCTTATTAGGCAGCAGTAAGTATAACAATTGGACATACTAGCACATTAAAGCCTAAATGCAAAAGCTCAGACATAACAGCAAATGGTTGTCCTACCATGGCTTATTAAGTTATCAGAAGTGATTGCGTATAAGTAGCTTTTGAACAGATGTGTAGACTCAAGTTTGTTTTTTTTTAAATCAGGGAGACTAAGTGTAAGGTAGGCTTATAGTATCTGTACCAGAAAAACTACAACCCTCCCTCCCTC